AAAGTGAATCGAATGACCGTGACCTCAAACCACAGCAGATGACACTGGGTGCATAAGGGATGAGGTGACTGCCAGCCAACTGAGCATAGCCCGTGTGCACCTCTGCTCACCACCAGAGCCACTGCCCTGGAGAGGAGAGCGTAGACCTGTTGGCCGAATAAGGGAAAGCCGAGGGAGTGGTCTTAATTAACCTATGTTTAAATGTGTTCTGTAGCCTGTTGGACTCAATTACGGAGACGGGGGATCTGCCTCTCACCAGCCCCTTTGTTGAAGTTTACATTTCTTTCTTCGAGGTCCCGGGACTCTAAGCATGCACTCTCTAGTCACGCCAAACACACACCCGTGACATGATCAGACATAGGCCGTTTCCTACCAGTGAGTACAAAAACCTCCATGTGTAATCAGAGGGAGAAAGAATGAGCCCCCCCACCCCCCAAATCCAAACCCACAGCCCACTAAACCTACAGCCAAGGTTTGAGTTTGCTCTTTGTGTGTGTATGTGTGTGTGCAAAAAAAAAAAAAAATCCAGATGTGACTCTATAGCCCATCTGGTTGGAATAACTTTTGTGCTGGACTGTAATTACAAGCTATTTATTATGAATCTTGGGATCCTGTTATGGATTTTGACTGGCTCCCAGATTTCCAATTTAGTAAAGAGTCCCTCTATTTAAAAGAGTGTGTGTCTTCATCTTTATCCGAGCCTGACGTTTTACTTCCACGACTCCTGCTGCCCGCAGAGCTATGGCCTCCCTGGGTCTGAGGAGAGCCCTTGGGGAGTCGCCTTCCTGAGGCCTCGGGCAGGTTTGGAGCAGGGGTAGCTGACTTTTAGCTTGTCAAGAGTGTTCCCATCCTATCCCTTGGGAAGGGGGAGTGAGTGGCAACATATGGAGCCTTACACGAGATACACTTTGCAGGGCTAAGTCACCCTAAGCAGTGTCAAGTAGCACACATAACAAACCAACCAGAAAGACAACAGCACCCCACACCTGAGGCAATTCTGACTCCTGGCGACCTGTGTGTTAACCGTGTAGAACTGCTCCGTAGGGCTTTCTTGGCTGTTATCGTTATAGAAGTGGATCACCAGGCCTGGTCACCAACCCCACCCACCTGGGCGCTGCTGGCGGATTTAGAACTGCCAACGTTTAGGATTGTGGTCAAGGGCAAACTCTTTGAGTCACCCAAGGAAGCAGCCTTACTTGTACCAAGATGGTTATTCCTGTTTACCTTGGTGTTGGTGAGCGCAAACCCCTGTGTTCACTTTTGTTATACTGAAGGACACGGTATTTTTAAAACGGATCTCTGTCATTTGAATTGTCAACTGCCGCGTGTATTATGCTTGTAATTTAAAAGTAATTTGTAAAAGTGCATCTGAAGGCCTTGATAATAAACTTTGACACTCAGTAGATTCTGACTCTTAGCAATCCTATAGGGACAGGGGAGGGTGGATTTCCGGCTCCCACGGGAGTAGAGAGCCTCGTCTTTCTCCTTCAGAGAAACTGGTGGTTTTGAACTGCTAACTGTGTGGTTAGCAGCCTAATGCGTAACCACTTATGGCGCCAAGGCTCAGCTTTGATGATGTCACATGGATTGAGAAGGAGAGTGTGAGGGAAGGCATTTTGGAAGACTTGGAGCCAGAACACCATGATTTAGATTTTAGATTGGTTATTTGCTTGGGAACTGTGGGCGTGGTCTTTATCCCAGCCCAGGTGCACTGACTGAACAAACTGAAACCCTCTGTGTGAGTCTGGGTACTTTAGAGAACCAAATCCACAGAAACTCATATGTGTAAGAGAGAGTTTTATATAAAGGTTTAGTGCATATCAAGAAAACATCCCAACCCAGTGTTGCCCAAACCCACAAGTCCAACATTGTTTTCCCCATGACATATGAAACTTTATTTTTTATTTTTTTAAATCATTTTATTAGGGGCTCATACAACTCTTATCACAATCCATATATACATCAATTATGTAAAGCACATTTGTACATTCATTGCCCTCATCATTCTCAAAATATTTGCTCTCCACTTAAGCCCCTGGCATCAGGTAGATCCTTGTAATCGGTTCCCCCTTTCCAACCCACTCTCCCTCTACCCTCCCAATATCGCCACTCACACCACTGATCCTGAAAGGATTATCCACCCTGGATTCCCTGTGTTTCCAGTTCCTATCTGTACCAGTGTACATTGTCTGGTCTAGCCAGATTTGCAAGGTAGAATTCAGATCATGATAATTTGTGTGTGTGTGTGGGGGGGGGGAGCAGGGAGGAAGCATTTAGGAACTAGAGGAAAGTTGTATTTTTCATCGCTGCTACATCGCACCCTGACTGGCTCATCTCTTCCCTGAGACCCTTGATCTCCAGTGGCCTACAAATGGGCTTTGGGTCTCCACTTCACACCGCCCCCCCACCATTCACTATGGTAAGATTTTTTGTTCTGATGATGCCTTATACCTGATCCCTTTGACACCTCATGATTGCACAGGCTTGTGTGCTTCTTCCATGTAGGCTTTGTTGCTTCTGAGCTAGACAGCCGCTTGTTTACCTTCAAGCCTTTAAGAACCCAGACGCTATACCTTTTGATAGCCAGGCACCATCAGCTTTCTTCACCACATTTGCTTATGCACCCATTTGTCTTCAGTGATGGTATCAGGGAGGTGAGCACACAATGATATGATTTTTTGTTCTTTGATGCCTGATAATTGATCCCTTTGACACCTCGTGATCATACAGGCTGGTGTGCTTCTTTCATGTGGGCTTTGTTGCTTCTGAGCTAGACAGCTGCTTGTTTACCTTCAAGCTTTTAAGAACCCAGACGTTATATCTTTTGATAGCCAGGCACCATCAGCTTTCTTCACCACATTTGCTTATTCGTCCCCTTTGTCTTCAGCTTCCAATATTAACCCATATGTCTGACACCAATCCACAAAATCCTCCTCCATCTCACAAAACACACATGTTTACTCCTACTCCAGGAGGAAAGCCGAACCAGTGAATGTGTAAGTATCTCAGCGCTGGCAGGGGTCTCCGCACGGCTGCTCCAGCACCCAGGGCTGCATCAGGGTAGGTCCATGTGGCTTCTCCTTGGGGATGTCTTGGAGGAAGTGAGCCTTGCCAGCTGAAGCAGGGAACTGGCTAAGGCAGCTACACCCTGGTCTGATGATCACAAAGTGGGAACGTTTGGATTGTGAGAACTCACTATTCTCATGCCACCTTGGCCTCCTAAAGCCATTGCTGCTGTTATCAGTCACCAATAAGTTGTAGCCCCTGACTCGCAGCAACGCGATCCTTAAGGGACCAAAACCCTGCTTGCTCCTGGATCATTCCCATGACCACTGCTGGTGATCGGGTTTTGACTGGCTGATTTCTAGAAGTAGCTCACTCAGCCTTCCTTCCTAGTCTGTCTGAGTCTGGAAGCTACGATGATGCGTCGGAGCAATACGCCAGCCTCTACTGACCGATGGGTGCTGGCGGTGCTTGAGGTGCGGAAGGTGACAGTTCTGCCACTGTCTCACCACTGCCCTCTCCAAGAGCCAGTAGGGCCAGGAAATAACCAGACTGATCTAGAAATTGAGCTGCCAAGAGGGGTGGGCTGGACTACTGGGCTGGAAGGGGTGGTCTCCTGGGACTTTCGAGGTTTTGGTCATTTAGAAGGGGGTGGCAATTTGGGTTCATTGTAGAATTTGACCCTGGGAGTGTCTTGGGGGTTATGGAACTCCTAGTGAATTTGAAGGCAGCACCCGCGGTGCTTTGTTTCATCTTAGAACTGCCTGGGGATTAGACCTGGGTGAAGGGCTTGGCTTCAATACCTCCCCCTCTTCACACGCATCATCCTTGGCTCTGGACCTGAAATGGAGAGAGCTGCCTGAGCCTGTGACAGTGAAGGGTGCCTGGCACCCTTTTTCAGCATTTCCAAAGTTATCGTCAGGCTTGAGGTAGGGTTTCCTGCATCTGTTGCAGGAGGGGAATAACTAGATTTATCTCAAGTTGAGCAGTGTCTCCTCTCTGCTTTGCCTCCAAATCAGGTCATGAAATTGGTTGTGCCCATCTTAATCCACAGTAAGACGTGCGTGTGCACGCATTTGGGATGTCCACTCTAAATGCACCTCCAGGGCTGACAGACGAGGCAGTCTTGGAAGAAGCGCAAACCTTCTCTGAGGAGCAGTGTCCTGGATTGCAAAACGGGGCCATCAGGATTCTGCTCGTGGGATTGCCACCAGAAGGAGCCGCATGTAGTAGGAACTCATTGAAGCTCACATCCTGGCGAATCCCTGTGACAGAATTTTCTTGGTTCATGTGTGGACAATCTGTGTCCATCATGTTTGCATCGTCCCGGAGACATCTTAACAGCTAACCTTTCAGGATAAAACCCAAGATGCAATTGCTCACCACGCTTTCATTAGCATAAGTGCTAATACAACGCAGCTGTCCCCCCGGCTATAAAACACTGACGACCGTGTCTCTGCTTGGCATGTGGAATATTATTTTTTCTCTTACTGAGCTGATTCTATACTCAGCTTGGTCATTATTTGAGTTGGAACTTTAGATTGCTGCATTTTTAATGCACTTTACTATTAAGGATTGTTGGAGAGCCATGTGCAAATATTTTTGTTCTCACAATGCAGCCCTGGCCCAGGTAGCCCAATGGGCAGAAACATGATTTGCACAAATATTAACATTTCTGTCGTGTGCACTAAAAAGAAACCTTAGAACAGAGTGGGAGAAAGCTGCTCCCTTCACGTTTTGTTATCTAGGTTAATTTGGCTTTCAGAGAAGGGGACTGTCAGACCCACTTCCTTAGCCGTAATCTCAAAAAGCCCTTGTGCCCAGATAACTCCAAGCCAGAGTGAGCGAGACCTGCTCTGCTATCTTGGAGTTTTCCTGCCAAGATGAAGGGGCGATGGGAAGAGATGAAGCTAGGAAAAACTCGGCATGGGCTGGGCTTCTGGGGATAGATACTGTTTGGAGTTGATTTCAAATGTCTCCTGTCTCTTTTTGCCTAGAACAAGGAAGTGACCTGTAAGAGAGAGAAGTGTCCGGTCCTGTCTCGAGACTGCGCGCTGGCCATCAAACAGAGGGGCGCCTGTTGTGAGCGGTGCAAAGGTGATTTACGTCTGGTCCTGGCGTCCTTGGCTCTGGGCGCCTTCCTTTCCTCGTCTCTCACCTTTTTCTTTACTCTGCTCTTGGCTGGCGGGCTAGTGGGTATTGGGAAGTGTGTGTGTGTGTGTGTGTGTGTGTGTGTGTGTGTGTGTGTGTGTGTTGGGGGGGTGGGCTGGGAATAAGGGAACTCTCCTAGTGGAGGGAAGGCAGTATGGCAAGCATCTGTCAACTTGGTTTATTTTCTAAGGCATGTTGTGAAAATGTCATAGAGGAGATATAATCCTGATGCCTATGCCTGTTGGTATACATGCACGCAAACATATTTTGCCAAGAAGTGTTGACACTCAGCTTTCCCCAGACTCCTCCACACCCCTCCCTGCCCACCTCGGCTAGCAGAGTCTTTAAGTCCAATGTTTAATCCTTTTGGTCCCTTGTACAATTTGTCTCCCCTTCCAAATTAAATCTAAGTTCTCCGCTTGCTTTCTGGCATCTCTCAAGGGTCCTCGTTTCATCCACACTCCCCACTGCCCTCCAGCACACTGGCTTTCTCTAGGACACACTGATCCTGCCCCTATATGCCTTAGCCCCGTCTGTCCTCCCAACTTGTCCAGAAGCTCCCGGTGCCCCTGATCTCTCAGCTCCAACTCCTCACTCCCCGCTTTAAGCTTCCCTAGTGGGCAGGCTCTTTAGCCTCCGTTATCGCATAACTCTGATAAATTGATTCTTCACTCCTTGAGGGTGGGAGCCAGCTTGTACTTTGACATGGCTTGGCCTGTATGGGAGCCACCTGTAGCACACAGGACACGTTCTCCACTGCTAACAGAAAGGTTGATAGCTCGAGTCTACCTGCAGTGCTTACTAAGACAGTCTTGAGGAGCTGTCTCCGAAAAGGAGCCATTGAGAACCCTATGAAACACAGTTCTACTCTGACACACAAGGGTTGGCCACGAGTCAGAGTCCACTCCATGGCAAATGGTTTGGACAGATTCAGTAGAGTGGGAGGCCCCACCCAGTATCTGCGGTGGCTTGTTTTGGTGCAGGCTTCGAAGTCAGGCTGCCAAGTCAAGGTGCAGTATAACCACTTAGTATCTGTGGGTCCTTGAGCCAGAAGTGCTCTCTACCCCAGGGCTTGACACTTTAAAATGCGAATAATAATTGTATTGTAGGGTCTTGGGAGAAGGTGCCCTGGTAGTGGAGTGGGGTAAGCCTTGAGGAGCTAATCACAAGGGCAGTAGTCAGAAACCACCAGCTGCTATGAGGGAGAAAGGTGAAGCTTTCTACTCAAGTGAAGAGCTGCCGCGTTGGAAACCCACTGGGGCAGTTCTACTCTGTCCTGTATAAGGGTACCACGTGTCACAATGGACTCAATCGACTCCAAAGAGCCCTGGCTATTGGCTAAGGCTTGGGCTGTTCACCACAAGTTTGGTGGTTCAAATCCTCCAGCTGCTTTGCAAGAGAAAGATGAGGCTGCCTGCTTTCATAAAGTTTTACTATCTTGGAAACCCTAAGGGGCAAGTCGACTCTGTCCTATATAGAGCCCCATGAGGCAGAATACACTTGCTGGCAGTGGGGTGGGTTGGTTGATTGGAAGGGTAGAATTCAGTGACATCAATGTTTTCACCATATTGTGAAGCATTAACCATTTCTAATGGCTTTTCATCTCCACACACACTCCAAACCAATCAACCAACCAACCAAACCAACAAAAATGTAGATAAACCCATAGCCATTGACTCATTCCGACTCAGACTGACACTATAGAGGGTTTCCAAAGCTGTAGCTCTTCATGGGAGCAAATAGTCTCATCTTTCTCCCATGGAGAGGCTGGGGGGTTTGAAACTCTGGCCTTGTGGTTAGCAGTTCAACACTTACCCGACAGTCCCACAGGACCTTCAGAACCTCGTCAATGGTTTTTCTCCTCTCCTCCTCTCCCATCAGCTCCTCGTAACTGCTTCATAAATGTTGGTTTTATGTATTTTCCTATTCTAGATATTTTGTCTAAGTGAGATCATACAGTGCTTGTCTTATTTCACTTAGCCCCTTCTTTATTTTTCCACCTGCTTCTTTGACATCATCATTTCTCTCTGTGTGACAATGCGACTTCATCAGCAAGGAGCCAGCTGGGCAACATGGGATGGAAAGGAATTTGGGAGGGAAGCCTGCTGATACTTTTGGTTGGCTTCACTCCGGTTCATCGAACAGACAGGGGCGTTCAGCTGCTCTCCTTGCATCCTTGCCTCTATCTGGCCTTCTAAGTCACAGCATCTGAACAGATTTGTCCTGTGATTACCTTCATCGACCCTCTTTCTTCCAATTAGCTTCATCTTCCACAGGGAGGAGATAGGCACTACAAAGCCATTTCCTGAGCATTCTCTCCGAGAGTAAGAAGATAAACCTCTTCAAATTAATCCGGAGGCATTTGGGTGAGGTCAGATCCTAGTCTTGCCCTGAGGGACCCCTCCATGAGAGGGATTTCTGAACAACTCTGAGTTTCCGGGTGCTCGGCGGGTGCAGGTTGAAGAGTCAGTCATCATTTACTCTCTTTCTACACTGTAACTTTCAGTTCCGCGCTTCTCTTCGCCAGAGTTCAATGAGTACCATTGGGTGTACACTATTCTCTTGTTGTTGATCACGGTAAAAATATCTCGTAAAAGACATTTGTCAATTCTCCGTTTGTCATGTGCATTCGTTCTTAGGCACTGGAGACAACGGGGACTTTGGTATATATATATAATTAGAATGGGAATATATGTTTACAGTAGATGCATTGAAAACTAGCTTAAATTATGGAAAAAATGAAAAAATAATTTTATCAGATTGACCAGCCAGAAACAACCACTGTTACTATTTAGTGTATTTCTTTCTGTAATCCCCCCCCCGCCCCCCACCCCATGTGAATGTGCTTACCTAACTGATATCTTACTACTCATG